GCAATCTGAATAAAGGAATTTAGCTTTCTCTACTCCTCTTATTCATCATTTGACCTATACAGGTCCCCCTGGAAATATATCGAATTTCCATGTGCTCAAAGTAACTTCTGAACTATTTCACCTTCTGCTTTTTCTTTTCCCCCCCAAAAAATAAACAACTTCAATGATAAGAAGCTACTTTATAACTGAAAACATCTGGAAATTCTTTGTCAACTAAACAGATGAGAAGATGAGGCTAAGTGATGTGGGAAGGTATGCATCCACTACTGAGATGAAGAACCCTAACAGAAAGGATTGTTTTCAAACATGAAAAAGCAGAATAACAACAATTACTTGCAGAGAAATCACGCAAATCAGCAATAAAGAATTCTCACTACAGGATTCCTATACCACGGCAAATAATCAGAAAATGGATGATTGTGGCAAAAAAGTTTTCAAGAATTGTATTTATTGCATAGAATGCAGCTACAAATTCCTCACTGAACTAAAAACAGATTCCAAAGAGGGTTGGAACTAGATGATCTTTAAGGTCTCTTCCAACTCAAACCATTCTGTAAATAAACAGAATAAGCAACATGAATAAGCAACAATGCCACATGGAACCAGACCATCCTTGGTGGCTGACATGTCTTTGAAGAGTAAATTTAATATGCTGTAGGGAAATCACACAGCTACCAGGTTTGCTCAATATGTGTAGCTTCCCACTTGCTTTTGTCTCTCCCACGCTTCGGTACTCTGCAGAACACTCAGGCTTGGTAAAGAAAGAACAGACTCCAACCTTCATCAGCAAAACTCAATTAAGTCTTCATATCAATGAACTCATAAAATAGACACATTTGATAGTCACACTGGCAACTGAAAACGGCAAGATGGAAAAGATTCCTGTTTGTAACTGAACTAAACATTCCAGAGTTTGGCGGTGGGATGCTTCTGCACTGTTTGTTGCTGTTTTGCATTAGTCTCTTGTAAAGGAGACTTCCTTCAATTTGTCTTCCTTCAATTTCTATTTCAGCAGTAATCTTGGTACTAAGATCTTTAATTCAATTGATGACAGGAAAAACTTTAAGCATAAGAAGAACACAAATCAAAGCCCAGAATCTGACCATCTGTCCTCCAAAGAGCTAAGTGGTACATATGACAAGCAGTTAGTTTAAATATTCTTCTAGCAATTAAAATATAGAACAGAAGAAAAAATAATTAAATTCACATTAATTTAGTTGGCACATTCTTTGTACACAAGCAAGCAGGTCCCACGAAAGTTGCTAAATTTTAATTCTCAAGTCAGGTCATTAGACTCTTCTAATTGCAAAAGCATTTGTTATGTTGACAGGGTATCACCAAAAAACAACTGTCAGACTGAAAATTCTAGCACAGTAATTTCATACAAACTTAAGAATTAGCCTATATGTTGCTGGCTTCAGAATAAAAACAGAGCTACCTTGTTCTTAAAAGAAAAAACATCAAATTAGGATTCACAGAAGTTTTTAACCTCTGACGGAATCTCAAAAATTAATATTTTTGTCTGCACTGCTTCATGAAAACAGAATTGCTCACTCATGACCACTAATTTTTTTAATCCTTCAGTTTGGGAAAGCAAGGCTGCTAAAGTGGCCTAAAGCCAGCCCCCATCAAGGACCTGATACAAATAAAATGGTTAAAAACAGATGGTTACAAAACTCAAAATTCTGAAAAATAAAGAGCAGCAATGAGCAATTAACACTGCACAATTCATTAACAATCTTGTTTGTGATCAACGTAGAAAACCACAGATGATCCACAGACCGAAATGCTGACGAATGATCCGCTCGAAACAGCGGGAATCTTGGAGAGGCCTGCTGCTCACACCCCCTGCACAGAGCGCCAAGCACTGCACACTGTGAGGTGGTGAGGTTACGGCTGGCGAGAGTAGAAGAGTTACAGAAAAAAAAGAAAAGAGTCACTGTTGGTAGAGTCCCTGTGGTAAACAAAGTAAATCAGGATGTGAATGCTGCTGCTGCAAAGCACAGTTTGCAGCAGGAGTAAACTTCTGAAGGGGAATGTGAAGGTGGCCCTCCCACTGGGCTATCTAACTGCACCACAGATCCAGCTATCTTTGTCACAAACCACAAGGGGACACAACCCACAAAGGCAGGAGCCCGTGTCACACCAACTTAATAGCAAAAAGTAAATGCAGAAGTTCAAAAAGTGAGGCTTGTGTTTCTGACAGCAAAGTTAATAAAGCAAGCTTTGAATTTCCCCCTTTTCTTTCCTGATGGTGTCTTATACCACCTGATCAGAAACGCGATTTTATCATTCCTAGTCTTGACTTTTCCTTCTTTGAAGTTTTAAGGCAGTTGTTCTTCCTTTGTGAAGCTCTGAATAAGAATTCAGATTTTTGACAGTGCTGTATTTACTATACACTCTTGTCTGCAGCACAATCACAGGAGAACACCAGCCAAAATAAAATTATTAAAAAGAATAACACATCCTCTGCTATTTATCCTGTAACAATGAAAATAAGTGTAACTCTAAACAACCCTGGTATTCAAAAACAGTAGTATGCTTTTTACAAATCCAAGCTTTGGAGCAAATTTTAATACACTACACCTTGAGGTTTAAGTGAGACAGATTTCTGATTACTGTGCAGTCCACCTGCTGTGACTTATTTCATCAGCTATGGAATTTTCTAGATGCAAACAAATAAGGAATTATCTCTCCCCAAGTCTATAGGCTTCGTTAGGGTAGAATTAAAATGTAAAAGCTGCTGTTGGAAATCCCTCTGGCCCAGGCTTTGGGTATGTAGTCTGTCCCACCCAGCACCCCTAGTGTTTAGGCACCACTTCATCTGTGACAGGAGTGCTCCTGCCTCCTGGCCTAGCAGTAGATGGTAACAGCAGTAACATCCTGCAGAGACACAAGAAGGAACTTTCACAGTTGTTACTGTTTGAATAACAAACCAAAGGATCAGAAATCAGACTCCATATATGGCTTGTGAAACTGGGTTTGTACCAGCTGTAATTCTCATACTGCTGCAAGACATTAGAGTTTAGTAGTTCTACTTAAACCAAGAGACAGGTTTGGACTGTGGTATAGGTCAGAACTATTTTCTCTATTTCAAGTGATAAGCCAGCAGTAATAGCATTACATATTCAGCATCCCTTCTCAGAGTTCATACCTCCTGAGAAACTCCATGCAGTTTACAGCTCTAAGAAGTGGAATCTAGGAATAACTCATATGCAAGCTTGTGTGTTCAGTTACCTGCACAATCCAGAGTCAAAAGCACAAAAGGGTGCTTAGGCCTCCTCTGTCTGTAAACTTTCCTTAGTCCAATTTAAAGATGCACATATGCACACAGATGCACACCTGTGTAATTAGCTATGCTAAACAAAGCTCCTAGTTTGGGGAGGTCCAGCTATGGGGATTAGATTTCTGAGCTCACAGCAGCAAGGGCCTATGCAACACTCACAGTGACCAGCAGCCAGCCACTCCTCACAGGAGGAGGCAGCTTCCAACTGACAGCTGTTAGATGGGAATGCTGCACCAAAAAGGTGGAAAGGCTGAGGGCAATGACTGCTTCTGGAAGGGCACAAAGCAGTGCCAGTCCAACTCTAAACCGGGCTGAAATGTGGCAGAGGTGTTTTGTTTTTTGAACAGGTTGTATCCAAGTTCACAGGATGCCCGTTAGGAGCATTATATAAATTCAATTCAGGAAAAAGCTGCTTGCAGACATGGCCTTTACTTCTGAAGCAACATTCCACAAGTAGGGCAAGCGTCACTGCCATGGAACAGCACTCTGTATCAGGTACTGAGTAAAAAGTTGCTCAAGACCTCCTAGAATTCTTTTCAAAAGAAAACTCTCACATTCATCACGAGTATATGTAAAACACAGTGGGATGGAAGTACAGGTAGTATGACAAAGGATATTAGTTAGGCATCTTCTTGCCCCAGTTAGGCCAACAAAACAATTTTTTTAAAAAACATAAGTTATCATGACCTCAACTTACATAAGCAAAAATAACCACCTGAAAAGATGACCAGTTTCAACTGAAAATTACATCTAGAATCTCAGTAGAACAAAGTAAAATTAAATCATAGAGACAATACTGTTTTCATTATATGAAATAAATATTTAAATACCTTTTTTCAAAGAAATCTCATTATTCTGAATGCAACATAGGCATGAACATCATGACTATAAAACATGTCATGGAGCAGATGTTGCAGAAAAGTTTCTTCACTGAACACATGTAAGAAAATTAAAGAGCTATCAGAGGTAAACTAGAAGACTTCTGGGATTCCTCATAGTCCTGGCTTTTCAATGACTAAGAAAAATTAACTTCTTTAGGCCCTTTTGAAACCTTTTGCCTACAAGTCAGATACAAGAATCCAACTGCCTATTTAAAAAAAAATAAATCTCATTTTGGTTGTGGAATTACCATTATCAGACATAAAAAGTAGTCCTCTATAAATTTACCTTCCCAATACTTCAACCAGCTTGTGTCTTGGCTTTATTCTACTGAACAGCTGAACTATGGAACTCAGCATTACTGCTCTTCTACTGGGCATTTTACTATGACCACATAAAGTTCTACTACTGAGTTGTTGAATAATGCCATTCCAGTATGATTACTTATTCAAACTGCTTGGTTCTTTGATTTGCCCCTTTTTTTAACCACTAGCTTCCGCTAATGCAATTTTTGTTGACATTGCATTTGTTTTCTTGCTCTCATCTACCCACAGTGGAGCATAAGACATTACTTCTAAACAAAACACTGAACCAGGTCATTATTTAGAAAACTAATTTAATAAACAAGTAGATACAAAAGCGTTCCACAGGCATGAGCAGAGAAAAAACTTACTACACTAGCACTATTTAACAAACAGTTTTGTTTTGTAATTCACAGCAGTGCCTACTAACATCTGTGTTTGGTCACCGAAGAGACAGAGAATTTTAGCAGCTGTCAGGGATAATATACATTGACTCACTGCACTGAATTTCTTAGAAAACGAGCAGAACTTACAGAAAATGATGAGCCATCCTTTGAAACTGCAACGGGGTAAATTCCATCTCCGAGACGCACAGAGAGCTCCCAGCTCCTTCTCTTTGATTTAGCAATAGGAATTCTAAAAAAGAAATAGGCAGAAGAATAATTTTTAACAGAGATTTCATGCTTCTCCCATTTTAACCAGAAGCACTTGCCTGGCAGGATGGTCAAGAAGGATATAAAATATCATTAATCTATAGACACAGTTGGAGAGCATACTTGAAAAAAATATACTAAATACAATTTTTCTGTCAAACAGCATATAAGGAGAAAATACACTCTTACTTTCTTTCTAGATTTGCCTTGACACACTGGGTATGCTGATAAACTTATAGGAGGCCCTTGAATACAGACAGCATTTGCTGCAGAATTAGCTCAAACAGGATGAAAAAGAAATGAGAAAGTGGGTTGGCAGGAGAAAAGCAACCAGTGATAGCTGGAGCAGTCTTCTTAAGGGCAAAATATAATCACTATGTCTTTCCCCTAACTCTGAGTCAATCTTAAATAAAAGCCAAAAGATTTAGCCAAACAAGTAATAAAAGTAATTTAATACTTAATATACATTTTAAAATACCTCATCCACAGAGCCCTTCAAGCACACTAAAAAAAAAAAAAAAAAGACGTATCATCACAGCCCATATGCAGGATAATACCTATTTCCAAAGCATTCTGTGGCTGTACCACTTGTCAAGTAATACAAGAAACGCGAATCTTTTCAACTTTAGCTTAAAGAAGCACACATCTGACAGCCAAGAAATGAGACCTGGGTCTTCATTCTTGGAAAGTCAGAGTGAAGTAAGCAATTTTCAGTTATTGTATTTAAATGTATATTTGTTTTCAGTTTTCTCATCCTAGCTTCTCCTCTCTTCCACTTTGCCATAACAACTGGTGTCCAAAGGTATGCTACAACTTTTCTGATGAGTGGTCACCATCAGCAAGTACCATGTATCCTAAAGAGAAGATAAGAAGGTGGACTTTAAACTCCGATAAAACAAAGACATATTATTTTGGTATCGCTTTTCTTCTACACACGCTTACATTTTTCTGAAAGAAATCTATACGGATAATAAGTTCATGAGCTTTAGGTCTCTTCTAAGGATCATTTCCGCTATAATATTCATCTATTGTATATTTTAGAGCTTACTACCCTGTTTCATTGCAGCCTTTAGAGTCTTAAAACTTGGAAACACGTTTTTCTGTGTTATGTTACATGCATCCTCCTGAGGATTCAGGTTCCCAGTGAACCACATCTCCCCAAAGAGAGTGCTCAGGTTCCCTGTGGAATCAACAGGGAGAAGCACCTGTGAGGCCTCCAGAAGCCACAGAAGGGGAAATTATCTTTCAAAGCCAAGGATAACACACTGACTTGCTAATAATTTCCACAATTATTTTAAGAGGGTTGGATTTTTAGACACCTGAAACTTGAGCAAGAACATGTTCAAGTAACTAATTAAGCAAAGAGATTCCAAAAATTGTGCCTTTCAATGTGCCTGAAAAGGGAAAATGGAAACACTAAATATATCAGACACAAATAGATGCATACTTATCCTTGGTTCCTCCTGGATCCAAGCCAAGTAAGGCCTAAACCAGATTTCACCAAATACCTTAGCTCAACTCTATCACTACCCAAAAAGTTCACAAAACCAGATATTGAAAATAACCTATTTTCATACAAATGATGCCAAGTGTTACCTTTCACATTTAATATATTGGCAATTGTCAAAACAACAAATCTGAGGAATTATCTATGGTAAATGGGGTGCAATGTCATTTCTCAGCACCTCATACTGAAATTCCTGTATGTCACCAAAACATTTAGACTGGCTGATAGGAAGTGCATTAGACACAGGAGTTCCTGAAGAAGAGGAAGAGGAATTTCCTGCACAGGTAGCAGGCAGCAAGCTGAAAGATGTTTTCATTGCACTTCCTGGTATCATATCAGCGCACCAGTAAGTAGGAATGCAGCAAGCCTTTGGCAGCACCTGTTTAAATTCTCCATGGCACTTCACTGCAACAACCAACAGGATTTAGTGGCTTATAGCAACTTTATATTTCTTGTACAAGAGATAAGACCTCACCTCACACCCAGCTTAGAAGATCTGCTTCACTGGTGGCATGAGATTCCTTACAGCCTTGCTGGCACGGCCCTGCTTCATATTGCATTTGACTGGAAGTGACCTCATGAATCTGGCTGCTGGCCATCAAAGGAAAGACAGTCTTGTTCTCCAGCAGGGATTATTTTTGTTCAGTCCTGTCTTGCTGAGCTTTGTCAAGTGTATCTCCAAACAGGATGCACGCCTCTTGAAAGGCATGACTATGATCACTGCTTAGCCTGGGTTTCAAACAGCCACATAATTCCTCTCTCTGCAACACCGGTGGCCAGAAGGGCAAGGTCCAGAGCTGCATCTAACACCAACTACACTTCCCTCCTGGAATTACTAGATCCATTTGCACAGGGACATTTTTCAGCTTTGCTGATCAGCTTTGCCTGTGGCTTTGTAACTGTACCTTATCTGGCTAGGACAGATACTTATATTAGTTCCTGACAATCCTACTTTTTCTTTGTTAAATCCAATTCCTTTCCAAAAAATTACTTTGTAGTAGACTCCAGTTTGATGGGATCTGGGGAGTGGAGAGGGGGGGTGGGGGGTGGTCCTATAAGTAAGAATCTCAAAGTACAAAATTAAGGATCAATATTTAAGTTTCTTGGATATGAAAAGGAAGTTGCTCAAGCCTGTGAACTGCTTTAGAAATGCAGAAGCTTCTATCAGGCTAAGAAAGGGGCCTTCTGGTGGGGGGTTTTTTGTTGTTTTGTGGTGGGTTATTTTTAATATCTGAGAAGTCCTAGGGCTTGGGAAATTACCTTTGATCTTGGCCAAGGTTGCTTCCTTAGCTGAGAACTCTTCTAAGTCTTCCAAAGGGAAAACATCTGAACTCTGAATACATTTCACACTAGTTCACAGAAAACTCCCCAAACTTCTGCTTATTTCCAAAAATGTAGAACTTTAAAAATTCTACATATTGGGCTGAAACACAACATATTCTATTTACAAAAAATAAAAAAAATTAAAAAAAAAAAACTACTGAAAATAAAAATAATGTCATTTTTGCCATCATAAAAGACACAAAAAAAAGGTAAGGCACCTCTGTTCCAACCCTAGGTTCAGAATCCACACAGTATGTCTTTCACAGCGTTCAACATGCCTTTCCTTTTTTTCTCCCAGTTTGGGCAAATGACACATCATCCAAAAAATCGCTTCACTCACACATAAAGATCACTGGCTTCAAGAAGACTTTGAAGTTCCGTAGCAAGATGAGTGCCAGGTGAATGGGAAGCAAGACCATGGAGAACTGTGCGCTGCTGCGCCTTGCCAGGAGCACTACACACAAAGGGACAGAGAGCTAAGGCAGCACTGCAGCCTCAACAACAGGAGATGGGTGGAGAAGGGTGTTATAACTCCGTCCATACAAAATGGGCAGTTCTGAACTACTCTACTCCAAACTGCCTTCCAAAGGGAAGTATCACAAGGAATAGGAGCCCAGATGAGGAACACAGTGACAGCATGACTCTAAGTCATAAAGGCTTTACTCCAAAGCACTGAAGTTACAAAACTTGTAAACAGTGCAACAAGAGAAACAGCACCATTTTCCTGCTTAGTTATTTATTTTCAACCCTTATTGCTGTTTGTTCAACTAGAGATAATGTCATTGTCCCGTAATTTATTTCATACTTTACACAGTGTATTATGTCCCTTTTACACCCAAGTGCCATGCACAAGAGAGGGGGATGGCTTTACAATAATGCAGAAATCATTGCTCTGGCTTTCTTTGCAAGTTTTCAGTGAGGAAAGCAGACAACTGCTAAAAATTTTAGATCAACACACACTTATTGTGCTTATGGAAAACAGCCACTAGTTAAACTATTATCTATTCTAGTCAAAAACAAGTAATGAAAGAAAACAGACATTCACAAAAGCAAATCAAATAATAACTCTGCCCTGGCCATTTTGATTGTCACCAACCAATTGGACAGAAGGAACTCAATAAAAACTACAATTTTCTGCACTTTGTGACAAATAAACTCCCCTCTCCTGATTACCACTGATGATGTAACGAGCTATGATAAAAGTCACCAGCTCCTAAAGGGTCAGAAAATTGCATATAGATTTTTTCACTTCCAATTCAAAATATGTGTTCTAATGTTGAGGTGAAAAACACTTATAAATTGTCTCTACTTCTGATATTTTTGCTGCATAATACTTTACGTAAACAGAGAAATCCCAAACTATCATAACAAATCCTCCCGTTATGAAAGATTATAAGTGCTTGAAAACCACATTATATGACACTCTATAAAGCTGTTTTTCAATTGTGCAATTACCTATTCAGCAGTTAAATAAAAGTGAAATATTGACTTAAAACAATGTTAATGGTCAAAGAATCATTAAGAAATCCTTCATCATAACTTTCACAGCAGGTGGCCTGTAAAATGATCAAGAATAATGTGCTGGATTCTGTAGCCACCAAGGTCAGATTCTGCATACAAATCTTGCAGGGGGAGAAAAAAAGACCTTCAGAAAGTGGGCCATTCATCTGAACCAAGTTCAGAGAATTTCCAGCACTGTGAAAAGATATGTTATGCAAGCACATAGATGTATTCAGTGGGGGTAGACTGAACCAGCTACATGGAGACTACAAAGGAGCCCTCCCATGGCTCATGAATAAGTCGAGGAAATGATCAGAAAAAAATGCAGAGATGTTTAGACAGATGGCCCACTTAAAATGCCTGGGACAGGGCATAAGCAATTTTAATGAAACTTTAGATCTACCATATAAATTGTTTCTTATTTTCCCTGCCCTTCCCCACAGCCCTTCCCCTGCTGCCCCCAAGAAAAAAAAAAAAAAAAAAAAAAAAAAATCAAGAAAGGCAAATAGAAATTTAACAACTTAAACAAGAGCCCATCTTATGATGTAAAAAAAAAAGGGAAAAAAGGATAGTAAATTTTGCACTTTTGAGCATTATTGGTTTAATAAGTTCATATACAAAGAAATATCCTTCAGAGAACCTTCAACTATCAG